GTAGCAAGCTCCAGAGTAATTTTTAAATTCACACTTAAGTTTGAAAAACACAGAGTCTATAGTGATTGCACCACAAATGCCACTTAGCAGAGAGAGTCCCTAGTACCTGAAGCCTCCCTTCCCCCAACCACCACTTCCGCCTTGAACTTGAGGCTTCTGAAAGATTAGCTGACTGAAGTTCTGAAGCGGGCTTCACAGATCTCCCCAGATAAACTGCAGGACATTTTCTCCCCCAGAGGCTTTCCAGGGCTGAGTGAAGGATCCCACCCTCCAGGCCTATGCCCCAAGCCTCCACAGCCCTCTGGACTCTGCCAAATCAGAGATCGATCGTCTGACCAGGAGGAACAGGCAGGGGAAGCAGGCAGACAGTCCAACCCTTTGGGCAGGGTTGGAGAGAGACAAGTTGACTCAGGCAAGAAGAAAGAAGGGTGTTCTCTTTATGAGGCCAAGATGGAATTCATTCCTGGGAATGTTGGGCCTGGCACATAGAATCTGCTTTCCAAGAGCTCTGCTAGACCCTATCTCAGAAATGCAAAGCATTTGGAGGAGGTGTCTAGTGGAGGGTGGGAAAAGGCAGTCAGAGGAGGGTTGGGCAGACTGTCCACTTTCCTCTACCCCTGCCTACCCTTCCGCAGACTTTTGACCCCACAGCAAGTTACGGGAGGCACTCTGCTGATCTTGGACCTTGACTCAGCAGTGCTCTCTCTACACCAGTGCTGCCTGCTTCCGCAGCATCTTCCTGCACATGATTCTCAGGCCACCTGGCCCTCGTCTCTTACCAACCCCCTGCCCACACCTACCCACACCGTGCCGCTCCTTGTCAGTTTTGCGCCAGGGGGCCATGGCTGGGCCAGGGGCCTGCAGCACTGCGTCCTTCTGTGGGGAAGCAGCCAGGGGGTGGCTAGGCACTAGGCAGGGCCCCACTTCCTTCCTCTTTTAGACTCCTCAGGGCCCGCCCTCCCAGGCTTCCTTGCTCCTCCTCCTCCCAGTCCTAGTCTAGGGCTGGGGCAAATGCAAGGCTTAATGTCATCTCAAACTTCTCTCCTTCCCACATAATCGGGCAGAGGCCAAACAGGTACATGGGGCTTGGTGGATCACCACCATAAGTGCAAAGTTTCCAATTCCTGAGCCTTATCTATCAGAACCTCTACTCTTTTACCCCTAACATGAACTTTAATGTCAGGTGTAAGTTCAAATCCAGATTTTGCTGTATATCAACTATTCAGCTAAGACAAATTGCCTCATTTTTCGAAATTTGTTTTCCCATCTGTATAAATGGGACACAAGTACCTACTTCCTATGTTTATTGTGAGGATTAGAGAAGATAATACAAGGAACAGGTGACACCTAAGAATTACTATGAGGATTACAGAGGTAAGCTACATAGTAGGTGACATAGTCATAAATATCCACCTGAAGAACAGCTCATTTGTGATTGTATATTTTTGGTGCCACAGACCCTTTGGAATATGTGCAAAAGTTCAGGAAACATGACACTGAAAATACAGAAGCACAAGATTTACCAACAATGCTAAGGAGTTGAGGGTACTCTAGCTGTCAGTGACCATAAACTCTAGGAAGAGTGCAAGAGTTAGACTAATGGAGACATTTCTCTTCAAATTCTCTTTTATTCTGGGAACAGATTTTAGCAAGAGACAAAAATGATCCCTTGATCAACAGTGATAAGACCGAATTAAAGTCTTCCTAAATTTTCTTTCATTATTCATAATTCTCACTACCTCTTTCTGCCTTACACTAGAGAATCAAAAAGATAGATTAGGCAATATCACAGCTGACAGGCACCAATGACAAAATATTAATGTCACTTTATCTAAAGTATTTCTTTTTTAGTTTTCTAGTAGCCCAAATTGGGTAGTATACTTTTCTAGTGGGAAGTCAAAATACCCAGGCTTCCACAAGAAAAACAGACCAGAGAATATGGAGTTAGCTAGATCTATTGCAAGGAATTGGCATATGTGACTGTGAGACTGGCTATGCATTTTTGAGCCAGCAATAATTTGCATAGAAACACCTACTCTCCTACCCCTTAATAAGAACTTTGGTGTCAAGCACAAGATGAAGCCTACTGGGAACTCCCAGGGAGGCACTGAAACTGTTGTCCACAGGAAGAAATTTCTTTTTCAAGGAAAAGGTTCAGTTAAAGATTTCTAACTAACTGGATCAGGCCCATTCAGATTATTGGGTATAATCTCCTTTACTTAAAATCAGTTAATTGGTGCAGTTAATTACAGCTACAAGATACTTCCACAGAAACAACTGGATTTTATGTTTGATAGAATAACTGAGTGCTAATTTGATTGAATAAATGAGTCTTTCATTTATTCAGCATGTTACACATTGTTGTATACATCAGAGGTTGACAAACTTTTTCTGTAGTCAGGTAATAAATATTTCAGTCTTTGCAGCCAAGAGGCAAAATCAAGGATATTATGTAGGCCTTTTATAAAAAATGAAAAAACAAATTTCCACAATTTTGTACTGATAAAATACATTCAAAATAAAACAAAATTTAAAGTTGTATATTAAAATTTCCATATATTCTTTTCTGATATAGGTAATTTTGTGGGGAGATCACATTCCACTTCATTAGTGTTCCCTGTCATCAACTTTGATTGCAAGTATTTCATCTCTATATTCGGATGTGTAATGGAATTTCATGTTTCAGTTGCAAAAATGTCTTCACTATAGGGTAGTGAAGAATCATCTGAATCACAAAAAGTGCTTGTTCTGGTCTGGTCTTTGTCTTGACTACTGGAGGTTATCTCTAGACTCTTGAGCTGCCATGGTTTTCCTGAGTCACATTGGATAGTCAAAAATATGATTTAAGGTGGGAATGACTGTGCTGAGAGGATTAACAATGAGATGTAGGTGGGGGTTTGAGCCACATGATTCTAGTTTAGATCAACCTTGTAAGCAAGCAATCCATCAGGCTTACATAATAAAGCCCAAATAACTCTGGACACCACTGTTTTGGTGAGCTTTCCTGCTTGACAGTAATCCATAAATATTGTTACATATTGACTCTAAGAAAGTAACATACCCTGAATCCATTGGAGCAGACAAAAGAAACATTTAGTTCATCTCTGAACTCTATGAACTTCCTCCCAGAAAAGATAAATTTATATTTTTTCCTTGTAATAAGTGGTAGCTTCTATATTCTATGCTTCCTTTTAGTGAAATATTGACCAGGAGAGTAGTTTGCCCCCTCCACAAACTCACAGTTGGGGTCAAAAGTGAGGATGTGTTTCTATGGACTGTGTGTCCTCTAAAGTTGATAGTTAGCTAACTCACAACTGCCTAAATTCTCAAAAGAAGCTACTTACTGCCAAATACCAATATCAATATGAAGTCTATGAGCATGAGACTTTATTAAGCATTTTCACTGCTCAGAAGGCAATAATAGAATTCTATGAAGTCTTCTTTTGATGTTTGCCTTTTAGCATGCCATTATATAGCAAAGAAATCATTTCCAGTTTGTAGATTAGGTGAAAGCCCATTAGCAGCACAGTTAAATGAATTTTGAAATTTAAAAATTTGTACTTACATTTAGGTCTAAAAAGCATTACTGAAATTGTAATTTGAGCCTGGGAAAGGCATTCAGTGAAAATTTGTTAAGAATAGAGAGCTTACTTTTGTTTTAGTTTTTGACAATACAAGAAGTTTTTAAAATAGTTTATTCCTCTTAATGTGAGCATTAATTGTCATCAAAATGATTTCATCATTGGATTCTAAATGTAATAATTATTTTGCTTTATAATTATGGTTGATCATTAATAAACATTATAAAGCCTGCAGCAAAATATATTTTCCAAAATCATCAGTGTACAATAACTGTGGTTGGGGTTATTCTTATGAAAAAAATTCAATTTCAACATTGTGTTCAAAAAATCACAAATGACTTATTACTGTTCTATCCAATTGTTATGTTATTGGTAAGGCAAGTCAGGCTATTAAGCTACTATTTTTGACAAAAGGATATTAAAAAAAATAATGCTTAAATCCAGAAGAGCTAATGAAATTCACCTATGACATAGTTGGTTCAATAATACATGATAAACTAAAAGATTTCTCACAAATTGACTTTTAATGACAATTATAGTAATTTAACATAAACTTTTCACCTCTATATACTTCACAAACTTGTCCAAAAACTCTTTTCTGCTCACACATATATTTTACCATTAGAATGTAACTAACACATTCTAGCAGATTCCCTGTCAGGTTATATTGAATTAGAGTTTCTTTGAAATCTTTGAAAATATTTTTGTCCATAGTCTTCAACATGAACTATTCATAGAAGTTAACTCTTTATTCATTTCACAGTCAGCAATGACTTGCCAGGTAAACTATATAAATAATTTCTGTCAACTTTTCAAGATCCAGAATAAGCCCCTGGAAATGACTTGCCTTGTTTTTAAATTGATTATTGATATTGCTTCCAACGTTCTCAACTCCAATGTTCAAGCAATCACTGTTGCCAAAGGCTAATATTTTTAAGGCACTTGTTTTCTTTGCACACTTTTCATCTCTTGCTAAAGTCAAACATGATTTGATTAACTCACCAAGAATAAATCTTTCCTTGAATGGTTAATAAATCAGTCCTTTTGGTCGTTGCCTCATTTTAATTTTTTTTTATTTTTATGAAGAAATAGTGCTTTGATGGATATTGTTTTAAATTTTCTAATTTTCCTGGCCATTGCTTTTCTGTGACTGAAATACTGTGATGAGTACCAATTCACTGCATAATAAACACAATGCTTTCTTAATTCAAGAAGAAGATAATTCATCCCACTGTGCCTTAAAAGCATAACATTTGGATTTCCTTATCTCCTTCTTTGTGCTGTTTTGTTTTTACATAGTGGCAACTGTGTTGGTAATTAAGATATAATAAATTGTTGCTTAGATATAATCATGGCACATTGTGGAGTTATTACCACATATGTGCAATGTCTAAGCTGCTGATCAGCACACTGCAAAGCTTTATAGTATGAACTTGTTTGTGGAATACCATGTGCAATACCTATGCAAATACTCAACTCTGCCGTTGTTGCATGAAAGCAGCTATTTATGATATGTAAATGAGTGAGGATACCCATGTTCCAATAAAACTATTCATTTATGCACAATGAAATTTACATTACATAAATTTTCCTGTCATAAAATATTACTTATAATATTTGTCTTAGCTATTTAAAAATGTAAAAATTACACTTAGTTCATGGTATATACAAAATGAGGTGGTCAATGAATCAATCAATGTCACCCTTGCTATACACCCTTGCTATACACAATCCTATTTGTGTATAATAAATATATGGCCATATGAGCTAAAAGATTAAAGGATGTGGTTTTTTTTTCTTTTCCCCATTTTGGGTTTTTGACATACACACAAACAAGCTCATACCAACAATGTGATAAAGTACTTGAGGGAGGGTGGGAGCAAGGGTGAGTCCTGATGCAGGAATGCAAAATGCCAATTCGTGGAGAGTACTGAGGATTTTGCCCCAGTCAGCTTGTGATGCAGTCTAAAACATGAATCTGTGTTCCAAACAAATTATTCAACATATTTAAAAAGTTGAAAAGTCACTCATGGTTGATTGAGATAAAATTTGGAAAGTTATTTTGATGAAGGTTAATTAATCTTAATGAAGTAGTTTTTAATATAGAAGACTTTATACTGGACTTTATATTTCTTAAATATGGAATTTTTATTTTATAGTTAATGATTCTATGGCATTAATATGGCTACAATGAATGGTTCTATGAAAACATGGCTATAATGAAAATATTTTTATAAGAGAGACTGAAGGTAACATATAAAAATCTGATTAAAACCACTTAAAGAATTTATAATTATCTTGGAGACGTGACTTTAATAAGTACCATGTTTAGTAAAATCTATTAGGTAGCACACTAATGATGACTAAAATTTCTTATGCACTCTGTAAATTATTATGGGAACAAGGTCTTCTTTGGCCAACATCTCTCCTGAGAACTAGAAAACCCTGTCTCCTACTGCATCATAGACATCTAGTCCCCTCCACAACCTGCCCACCCATTAATGTCTCTATTCCCCCAAACCAAGTTACCACCATAACCATGAAAATGATAGCAACAGACCTTGTTTGTACCTCTTCTGATAACTGCTATCCTATGTAACAGGGGAAATGACCAATCCTTGTGCTAAAAGTGAAATATTAGAACCCCAGCTCTGTCACTGACCAAGCTGTGTAGTTTGGAACAAATTATGTAATCTTTCTAAACCTCAGTTTCCTGAAGAAAGTCAGTGCTAACACTTAATGTGCCTGCACAGCATGTCAGTCCCTGATTTGAATATTTTACATGCATTATCTCAATTCTCAAAGTAGCCCTATCAGGTAGATGCCATTATGATTCTATTGTAGCTAACAGGTAAAGGAAAGTCAAAAAAGTAAGACCCCAATTTATCACCATCAAACCACTATGAATGACTACTTGGGAGTAGTAGCATCATCCTTCATTTCACTCAGTCATCTTTATCTCTCTTTCATTCCAAATGATCATCTCAAAAACAGTTCTTTTAATCAGTTCTCTCCTCTATGGCACAAGGAATCAAGATCTTCCTCATTTCAAATGCAAATATGAGCTCCTACCTCCTGTCTTGCCTTCTTCCAATCTTTTTACCACGAGTCTTGCAGGACACTCTGTCTAAACCATCGTGATCTCCTCAAGCTAGAAAAGATAAACAAAGCAGGTTTTAGGAGATTTACTACCTTTGTGAAATCAAGACTTCCACAGAAAAGCACCACACAAAGTATCAAGCACAAGCCAAGGAAATCCATGTGAATTCATGTTTAGATAAATTACAAAAAGCTTCCCTAAGACACAACAGAAGGGGGAACTCTTAATGTCTACCTTTCTTAGATTAATAGATTCAAGTCTGAGACTTGGCTATAATTCATTAGTATGGCTAGAGTGAATATTAAATACTGAAATATATTCCTATGGATTGCTAAAATGTCACTGTATTAAATCCCTGGACTTTCTCTTTTCTCCTTTCCTGGTTTAAGTGCCCTTCAAAGTGCACCACTGGAGTCACTATGGTTTTTGTCAGCTTCTTCCCTTACATTTCATGGTAGTGAGTTCCCCTTTCCCTTATATCTTCCCAGCTCTGATAGTGTACACCTGGACCCACGGTGGGGAGATATCTACATGGAGGTAGCACTAGTACATGGGGTAGGTAAATATTCAGGGTCTTCTAGCCTACCGTCCACTGGTAACTGTCACGTGGTTTTCTTTGGTAACTGCTGTCTTTATATATTAGTCATTATCTTGACCATTATCGCTTTGTGTGTTGCTCCTAGAAATTAGAATAGAATAGCTTCTCAGGATATTCTGAGAAGCTCAGAGTTGGAGTTAAAACTTCCACTTACCTTTAACTTAAAGTCTCCAGATCCCTATCAGAATTAGAAAGAAAGACTAGATAAGGACAAGAGTGCTCATAATTAGCTGTACTAAAGGAAGAAGCAAGGACCACAATAAAAAAAAATAAATGTAGATAATGAGGCATTCAAATAATTCTACCTTAGGATGACAGTCATATCTCTGGAAGTGAATATGAGAGTAGAGGCTGAAGATGAGGGATGATCCTTTTAATGGATTAGCTATAGGAGTTAAACAGGTTTAGCTTCATGCCATTATAATGGTGCTCAACCTCAGTACTATTTACAAAAATACTCCTCTACAAATTCATTTCTTGTCTACATTACACAGCCAGTTCTTATACTCCCCCTCACCCTCAAAGTTCCCACTCCACACATACACACTACACCTATGACAGCCCATGGCAGAGTGGTGTCTTGCTATACAGTAATATTTGAAGTCCCTTAAAAGTGCCACAAGCTTTCACATCTCTCGCGTGCCCTTCCCTACAAGAACACTCCTTCTTTTTTCCTCTCTAAACTAAATTGTTCTGCAAAGACTTCTTTGGTGACCTACCCCACCTCTCAATTGTTCCAGTTAGACAAACCTCCTGAGTACATACAGCAGCCCATAAACATGAACTACTATCCTTAGTCTTTAAGTGCCTGTTTTGTCCAGAAGTTTAAGAGGAGCTTCCAAGGTTCACACTGTATGTACAGTGACATTAGTCAAAGTTCTTGTTCATGTATGATTCACACTGAATGGTTTCTCATGTGGAGACAACGACATTCAACAGAGGACTTGCTTCAGTATCACAAAGGCTAAATCTGGGGGATAACCTCTTGTGTAACAAGAACTTTTTATTCTCCAAATGTCCAATAATAATAATAATAATAATAATAATAGGCCCTCCTTAGTGGCACAAGGGTTAGGATACAGCACCGCAGACTAGCCACAGCTCCTTCAGTGCAAGTTCGTTCCCTGGCCCCCGAGGTGATCCCCATAGCTGGCAGACCTCTCCTGGCCTGCCTGCTGCTCCCCTCAGCAGTGTACTTCATGAATCTGCCTGTTCTGCTCCCTACTGTCTCTGGTGAAGTCTCTCACCACCCCTGCTCCTCTGGCTTGTACCCCAGTTTTATATGCATAAATAAATCTTTAAAAAAAGATATAAGTTACAACAGCTAGTATTTATAAATAATAATAATAATAATAGTGATGATAATAATAATTACAATAACAATCAAGGAATTTCACCTAAACTTTTAAATTTATAGCTTCCTTGAAAATTAATGTGAAGATCTGATAATTCAGTTTGCATTTCTACAAGGCAGAAATCAGTTAGAGAAACTGACTTTTAGGTAGACTTATTTACCACAGTCCCAATATCTCTCTTCTCCCACCAATGCTGATGTTAAGTCTTAATTGTCATGTATTAGATTTACACTATTGTATTTCTTAAGGTACAGACAAAAATGAAAAATTATTTGAACTTGTGTTCCATCAGAAGTGGCAAAAACAAAAGAAATGGAGAGCATATATTTCAGGAAACTTGGAAAAGGGTATATATATATATATACACACACACACACATATGTATATGTATACACACATATATGTATCTATTTATAGATGTAAAGAATAGTCATAAATATAGGTTAATGTTAAAAAAATTCTTAATCTGCAAGAAGCAGCAGCAACAACAAAAAGTATGATATTTCATGCTGTTGAGTTGCTTTCCTAGTCCCTACAGACATCTGAGTTGCGACCCCTACTGGATATATTGAAAATGAAGGAAGTCAACATTTTCTGGCCAAAAGGCAGACCTTAAATTGGGTAATAGCTAACCAATCCAGATAGGTCTTCTCATTTCAGAGTATAAATGGTAGATGTTCCTGGAGAAAGAAAATTGCTAGAGCTACAAGTGGATTTTAAACAATCTTAGTCTCTGAGAAATCAAGACAAGTGCAAATATATGTCTTAATAGAAGACAACAGATTCCTCAGACACACCTGAGTTCTATAAAGAAGCTTCCAACAATTGTGTATATCTCTTTCTTAAGAAGTTCAATGTATATCAGCACACCATATGTAACTGTTGACAAACTCACCCTCCACACATTCCTTGAGTCTGAGAGTTCCTTTACTTGGATGATCCATCATGTGAAAAACATTGCAAGACACTCAGAATACACCTTTGTGAACAGCACAGACTCTATTTCTGATCTCTTATATCTTGTATGCAAGCAGGGGAAGCATAAAATCAACAAATATACTATAAGGCTTTAAGAATATATAAAACAGAGAAATGATAAATATCTTGGGAAAGTATTAAAGGAAAGGTTCTTAAGAGAGTAATATTTAAGAAATGGTACCTAGGAAAATAACCCAGGGACAAGTAATCACAAATATAAAAGTCTTAAGGGAGAATATGCTTAAGACTTTTAAGAGAACATCCAAAAGAGAAAAAAATAAAAAGATAAGTGTAATGGGAATATAGTGACAGTGTGATAAGAGAGGAGTTTGGAAATTAAGAATGAACTAGATCATGTAGTACCTTGAGTACCAAGATGAGAAATTTGAATTCCACCCTAAGCGTGCATAGAGAGAGAGACAGCCCCTGAGAGTACTGAGCTGGCCTGCTACTCCCAGCTATGCCACGGTAGGTTCTCCTGTTAGCATCAAACATTTTTTAGAACATTAACATCAGACAAAGAGAAGTTTTGGTCACAATGAATTAAAAAAAAAAAAAAAGCAAGACCACTATATAATCATGAAAAAAATACAGAAAAAAAAACATGCCAACCAGATAAATGACTATCTCCCAGCCATGTTTAGCAAGTGACTGCTGTTTTTTCTACATCTAATCTATTTTATCTTTAGACTTTAATTTTTCATCCTTCCAGCTGAAATTTATTAATACATCTAATCATAACATTCACCCTAACTCTTTAATCACTTCTCCAAATCACCAAAACAAACTCAACTCATAATAAGATCCCTCGGTACAGCTGCTTATTGAGGCATAGATATAGCTCCACCTGTGTGGCCACAGGCAATAAATCCTATTCATTCTACTTTAGGTGTATGACAGTGGTCTTCTGATGGAGGGCATTAACTAATATCACTCGGAGATATTAAGTAGAAGGTAATAGAATCAGTTTCAAAAAATTATTGCATTAAAAATAAACTCTACAAAAAATATAAGACCAATAGAAGATGGCGGCAGAGTAAAGACTCCAAGATCACCGCGTCCAAGCCTGCATAGGAATTGAGGACTGAAAACGGACTATAGACTCACTACAAGTTTTAACCCAAACGAAAACACCCTGGACTCACTAGAAGGTAGATAACTGCTAGGGAATCGGCGACTGGGTAATTCCCAGAAGGGAACTCCCGGGAAAACCCGGGCCCCTGGAAGTTCCGCGGGCTGCAGGAGCCG